AGGGGCCGGGCTGCGCTCTCGGAGGAGCCGTGGGCGAGCGAGGAAGCGGGGGGAGCTCGTAGGGGAGGGGATGCGGTGCGCGCTGTGCCAAAGGTGCCTCCTCAGCAGGTACCGGGAAACCATCTTCCAGGGCGCCGCGTATGCTGCTACACTTCTTTTTTCCGCTTCGATACAAACCAGCCGCCTCCATGAACTAACTCGTTAGATCGTACACCGCTCTGGATCTGATGATGTGGTTCTGTCAGGAATGTGATGACCATCTTCTCTCTTATGCTGGTTTTGCTCCGATTTGGTTTTTATTCCACGTTCCTTCCCTGGTACTGGGCCCTTTGAGATACCGAATGCGTATTTGCCTAGCTAAAAGCTGAAATGCTTAGACTGAGAAAGGCGGCCTTAAAGCTGTCTATGTTAACTTGTGTAGCCTTCAGAGAGCGGTGGTGGGGGCCTTGGAGTGTGTCTTGCCTTAAAAAATGAAAGGGAGGAAAAGCCTCAAGGCACATGAGCAAAGGGTTCACCTTTTCCTGCAGCATCCATGCTTCTTGAAACGAACTGAAAATCGTAATACACTGTGAAAGGCTGCGTTTCGTGGATGAATTCAGAGGATGAGGGCAGTTATGAACAGGTATTTTCCAAACATGATACAGTGATACTGGGGACTTCAGTTTTTGTACAAATCAGTTCTGACCCTTTTGGAATCAAGAGAGCTGTGTTGATTCCATGAGTGATATCTAACCTACTTTTCTCAAATAGCAGTTCTGAACCAGGTTCTGTTTCCTGCTAAATATGAGAAACACGCTACCGTTTTTCATTTGTCTTGTCAGTGGGACAAATCCAGCCTTGAAACAGAAAGAGGCAGTTAAAAGGTCTTTGTTAAATCGAAGCTGTAGCACACAGATTCATGGTAGCCAAAGGCTTTAAAAAAATTAAAAGCAGGCTGTGTTTGCCTCTATTTTGTAAAGGGGTTTTTGGAGGCGAGCATTATAGCTCTTTACAACTGAAGTTCTTATGTAATGACAGTTTTAATTATGAATTTTAGAAATGATAGTCTGAGATTAGGAAACCTGGATTATGATATAGTCACACTGGAAAACTAAGCAAGCGATCCTTTTGTCAATATCTGTGCTGCAAGAGGCTATGGAGGAGTCATGGATGTTTTATTTTCCAATAATGGGAGCTCCTAAAAGGTCAGGATTTGGACTGCCTAGAAACAGTAGCAGGATTCTGTCCCACCATGATGACAGCCATGAAAATAACAGTGAAATAAATATTACATTCCTGTCTCGGAAAGAGAACTGTGCATCAGATGAAACAAGATTTGGATTTAATTGCTTCTTTGCAAACAGTTTCTTCTTCCCTCCCTCTCCCTTTCCTCGCTGAACATTAGGTGGGCATAGGTACAGCAGAATAAGAAAAGTATTCTCTTCAGGGGTTGGCAAAGCGGGTGTAAGTGGGAGAAGAAATCAAATTTTACCTTCATTTTTTCTATTTTTCTTGTCTTTCTTTTTCTTTCCCCTTCTAAAAGCTTACAAGTTTAATGAACACAGAGATATTTTTGTAGGGAATCAGTAGATAAAATTATTGTTAAAAGAAAAAAAAGTACAGCTGCCAGGAATGGTGGAAAACAATGATTAATACTTTTCTGGATTAATTTTTGGTGCTGGATTAATGAGGTACTGGAAAGCAGATGTTTTAAATGCAATGGAGAACAGTATTTCAACTTAAGAGTAACTTTGATAGTAGTGTCAGGCTAACATGATACCGATAGGTATCCAAGACATGGAGAACAAGGTTAAAAAGGTATAACATGTTTAGAGAAAGGAACTGACATCAACAAACAAACCAACCTTGTCAAATGGCAAATGTGGGAGGTAGATAACCAGAGCACAGGTATAAAGTGATGAAAGTTGTTACTAGTCAATAATATGAGAAGGGATTATTAGTTATTACCAGTCACAAACTGAATGAGTCAGCAATGCAACATCATTGCCAAAATATATTGTGTAAATCCGGTGAGGTGGTAGTTTATGCTTAACTGAGGTGTCTATCGGACTGATGTGTTGGGGAGGTGGGGATGTTTGATTCTCCCCCCTCTCCCCTCAGTTAAAAATGCAAGCTGTCTGGGAGGAATTCACAGAATTAAATTGAAGCAAAACCGTGGGGTAAACAGAGAAAAAAGGATGTTACGTGTCTGGTTGGATGCAGCAGAATGCACCCTTAAGAAATCAGAGAATCCTGTTCGTCCCTCTGTATTCTTTTTCTCCTTTTTTGACTTGTTGCTTTTGGTCACCTTACCCCTCAAACGTAGTAGGAACAGTCTCTTCTGTATGTTTGCATAGTCCAATCGCCTTTAAAACAGATGTAGAGATAATTTTTTTTTCTTGATCTGTTCTATGTTCCATGCTTCAGAATGCATCAATATGCTGTGTACAGTCTAAAAATGCTCTACATAAAAAAAATAAGTCTCCAATACAGTAAAACAATACAGTGCACCATTTGCGGGTATGGTCAATCAACTTTAAAATGGTCTACTTGCTTATTATCTGTCAAGGAAGACCAAAGGCATTGTTGGAATCGTAACATCTACTTTAATCACTGTTTAATCAGAGATGATTTAACATTCATGATTTTTCCTCTTCCCACTCTTGTTTTCCACAGCAAATCATCTGCGCTGTCCACTGCTAAATATGTAATTTGTATCTTGTCTTAGATGTAGGCAGCTGGAACTCTTTGTGAAGTCAAAACCTTTTCAGTTCTTTGTATATAAAAATCCTTAAGTTGTGGCTCTTCTTACCCATTCACCCAGCTAAAATTAACTTCTTGGCTCTTGTTCTTCTACATTTTGATTACTGCAGCTTTTTCTCCACCTTTGACACAGTCTTGCTCAACTACATTCATAACATGTTGGCAAAAATTGCTTTGCTGATAAATTCCATTACTTCACTGTCTCAGAACATTTTGACAAGACTGGCTGTACCTGGATGGAGTTTTTCTGATGCTCCAGGGTGATGCTTCAGTCCCCTGAAATACAAATTATATCTCTCTCCCTAGAGATCATCGCCCAAAGAGCTGAGGCATAAAATGGAATCATAATCACATTAGCATCTTGTATGGTCTCTTGTCTTATGCTTAGATTGTAAGCTTGGTGCCTGAGATCCATTCTTTCTCAGCCCCCAGCACAGAACTGCTGCAAGTAGAGCAGTTGTGGCCCTTGACTGGGTTTTCCAGGTGTGGTGGTGATGCCAATAATAAAACCAAATTGCTAGATTTATGTGAGTGGGAAAACTGAGAGGCTTCTCTTCAGAGCAGAGTGGACCAGGCCTATTAATACCAAGTTCGGTTTTGGGGATTCGTTTCTCAGTAAGGGCCTTGCACATTTGGCCCTTAGTGTTTCCCTTTTAAAATGAACAACCAGAGCAGAATGGGACTTCTGTTGTCTGGGTGTTGAGTGTAAGACCGAGAAATCCAAGATGTCCTTTTGGGAGAACTTCTCTTTCTCTGCTCCCAGAAGGGGTGGACTGGATGAGGTAATTATCTCTGCTACCTCAGTATTGCACATTGCGTAAGTACACAGTTACTCCACAGATCTGAATCAAGATAACTGCTGACGGAAAGAAGGAGGGTAAAAGAAATCAGGCAACCTCTGGTGTGTTC